TATGTACAATTAAAGACTGCATTTTAAATTAAAGCTCAGATACGTAACTTTTTTTTAGGGGGATACTAGGTTCGTGATACATGTCGCCGAAATTGGTTTTTAAAAAAATCTATTTCGTCTCCATTAGAACAAGTTGAAATTTTTTATATACTTAAATAAATCTAATTTATATAGATCTATTCCTTATAATTTTGTCTATTTAAAAAAAATTTCGTCTTTTTAGTAAAAGTAGGTTAAAACAATTTCGTCTTCAATTTTTAATTTCGGATCCCAAAACCCAAAATAATTGCGTCGGCATGTATAATCTGGACTAGATTGCCATTTGGAGTATAACATATATACAGAAATATAGATGTTTAAATCGCAAACTTGGATATATATTTAAAAAAAAAAAAGTTTGTATTTAGAAAGTGCGCATTTAGAAAGGTGACTGTATATAAAAAGGCTAACTAAATATGTACGTATATGTTGTAAGTGGGAATGGAACCATAATAGGGTTCGGAATCCACTTAGATTAGGGTTGGGATTTTTAGTATAATTATTCCGTTCTAACCTTAAAAATTCCGAATCAACTTTAAATTCTACGACACATGTATCATACGTTGGGGAATGATTCCGAATAAACATAGGTTGTAATAGAGTTCTAAACTGCACTCGAGTTGTTAAAGAATTCAAATTAAACTTACAATAAAATTAAGTGGATTCTAATTTATCTTATCGCGTAAATTGGTTTGGAATTTAAGTCCTTAAGATTTATTCACAATGCAATGGATCAGATTCACAGGGTTTGAGTTGGGTTTGATAAGTCGAATTATAGGGTTTGTTGGTGTTTCAAGATCAATATACGTCGATCTGCTGCTACGTAAGGTATTTAGAAAGCAATTCATCAAATGCATTACGAGATAAAAAAGGAAGTTCGGCCATCGGATAGAAAGAAATAAAATAATATATAATAATGTAAATAAAAGTTTGTTTTGACAATCATATATTATAAAGATAAGATATAAATTACTTTAACAATTGTTACTTCAATCGATTAACACATTTATTACAGTATCGAATCTAAAATCAATTTAAGTTGCTACATATTAATTTAATGATTTATTATATATCGATATATATAGTATATATGTCGTAGGTGGGAATAGAATTTAAGTTGATTGGGATTTTTAGTATAATTATTCCGTTCTAATCTCATATGTATCAAATTTAGAATCAATTTAGATTTTGTATCGACTTGAGTTGCATTTAGAATTCCGTTCAACCTAAGTAAATTCTAAATCTACAACAATTCTACGTACGACATAAGTAAATAAAACAAGTAGTAAACTATATAATTATATAATTTAAAATAATATTATGTATAAATGTTAAGCCAATAACTAATCACAGTAAATTTTCTACGTAGTTTCAGATTTTTAATTTGGCAAAACCACGTAAAAATAAAAACGAAGCAAAAGTAAAGCAGTCACGAAGGTGACAAATATCAATATCAAGTATATATAAATATGTATTAACCTGTTGAAAATCTACATATAAAGATCTTATTTACTATCTGCTATCGCTACGTATACTGTACTAAATTTATTTATTACATAAAATAATACGTAGGTTTAAAGTAATCATATCGCAGATCTTTCAACTAATTATAGTGTTGCCAAATTAAACCTGACAATCAAATACGTATTCGGCTACGTATTAAACACTCGAAACATAACGTATACGTATACGTGATAGACTTGTCATGTAAAAAGATCTACGTTTGTGTCATACCTGAAGTTATACCTTCAAGTGCACTCGACTGAAATTAGCCCTAAATTAGATCATTTTACACGCATTAGCTAGCTAGTAATTTTAGGCAGATGCAACTTCAAAGTATTACAGTATTATTAGAAATTTCTAACAATTTTAAATTTTATTTCGAGTTTACTTTTACAGACCTTTGCAAAGTTACATAGACTTATTAAATAAATAACTTATGCTACGTTATTATACGAGCATAAACAATACTGCATTCAATAATATTGAATGTATTACATCATGAAAATAATGAAGATGTTTAATTAAACGAATCAATTGCAATTCCGATCTCTAAAAATAATAGATTAGCTTAATACTATATAACTTATTTATTAGGTGATTAGATATTTTGCCCGTTAGCCACTAAAAAAATACCACATAAAACGTCACACCACCAAAACACACTACATCGCTACATCATCTTGTTGTCCGACATCAGGTGCGTTCGTCGGAATCAATGAAGCAACAAAGGTCCATAACGCATGCTCAACATCTTGAAGAGTAATTTGCCTCGCATTTTCCTGAGGTGGTTGTGGAACATTATTTGCTCCATTATTATTATCATTATTGTTATTAACGTTATTTTGTTGCTCCCCTGTCGATGAGGATGCAGATGAATTGGCAGCATTGTTATTTGGATCATTAGTTTGCATGGGAGATGGATGTAAATGAGCAGTTGATGAAGACGACGAAGGTGTATTGCGATTATTTGGGTCCGGTTGCGGAATTGGGAGCCCTCCTGGATTTTGTTGTACCGGCATTTGTGGCAGTTGTTGTGCTTTTAATAATTATTCCGTTAAATAAAAAACTTTAATTATTAGCAATTCATTTACTTAGAAATATATTAACAATAAGCCTAGATATATACCTAAAATATCATTTCCTATATTAGGTATAGGTGCTATGATTCTCTGTCTACGTCTCCGCACGATACGTAACCGTCCAGTTTGATGTCTATTTCATATGTAGTAGGTTACATTGACGTTCAAAATTATGATCACTAAGATATCACCAAGATAAAAATGAATTAATACTCACAAAAAAATTACAAATGCCATGAAATACAACAAAATCATCCGTTCTGTGCTGGCATTTTGTGAAAAAATATATACCAGGAAACCAAGCTTTACAATCAACCACAAGGTAGCCGCTCGGCGTTGATTTCTTGCGGCGACGTCTTGTTGAGGCTCTGGAATCTGAGCAACTAAAGGTTGTTGCGCCTGTGCACCAGTTTGTGGTGTAGGCACGTAGGGATATGGATACATATACCGATACGGATAATGTATCGGTGCAATGTAGGGCATTCCACTGAAATAATTTGTTGTTAGTTAAATTTTTAAAATAAAAATAAAAAATAAAATAAAAAATAAAAAGGAACTCTAATTACAAGTAATCTTACTTTATCATAACGTAATAATATTGCAAAGGTAGTCCTATTGGATAGAAATTTTGATTTACGGGAATGTCATTCTGCTGTTGTGGATTAATGGAATACTGCTGTTGTAAGTACGTATGTGCATGTTCTGAAGGTGGAACAAAATATGGCATGTTAAGATTCGGAGGTTGTTGGGCAAATTCAGTTAAGCCTGTAGTACCAAAATTTTGATCTGTTAAAGGTGTAGCTATTCGTGCATTGGTTGTAGATGTCGGGCGAGATACAGGTATCCCGGTGGTTTCAGCGGACGTCTGAAACGAAGGCTTGACAACCAAATGAAAAATTTGGTCTGTTGCCAGCTCACTTCGCAAAACGTTTATGATAGTGTCAGAATCATTTAGCACCCTTCCTCTGTAGATCAACCTTTGGTCTCGAACATTTGGTTTAGTAGGATGAGTCTCGAAGATGGTTCGTTTCAAAGTAAGAACCGACGAGTCAAGACTAGTTAATATGGAAAAGTCATCGGGTAACGAGGTAGTAGGCGAACGAATGAATATTCTAACTTTGCCACATTCACCACTAAAGTTGGAAGAATCACTGCTTGAGGACGTCGCCGGTTCAGACATTGAAAATTGTATACTTTCTAAGGGATAAACTAAAACTACGCTTCTCAAAATTTTCAATCGGAAAATATTTATGTAAGACTAATACATGTCACGTGAGCAACTAGCTATCGTGTACCTTTCTGATTCATCCTTTTTTTTTTTTTTTTAACACTGGTTTAGTTATTATTGGTTGACACGTCAGATTATCAATATATAATATTATACTTTCTATTTAACACACGTGAGTCCTAAATCATTTTATAATCTTACGCCTTTGAGAAACATTGCTTCACGAAAAATTCCCTCAAGTTCAACAGCAGACTTGTAGAAGATAGTATCTGATTTGTTATAAACCTTGGCATTGTTCCAGATTTTTTGCATATCAATTGCAAATTCTAAAAGTGACCGATACCTGTTATTTTCCATACGTTTCAAAACGGTTGAAAGGTCCATAGGATCCTTGATTATATCGTAATAGTCAGGAACATCATCTCCGTTTACAGGTTCATGAAATGGTAATGATGATGGATGGCTTTTTAATCGATTTAGTATTTCTTTCATAACAACATAATGTGACATATGCTTAATGTCTTTCGCCTGTTTTTCCAATTGCGGTGTCCATCCAGATATTCTAATTCCCGGCACCGACATCGGATCTACAGACTTGACACCATTTTTAAAACATTGCAAGCCACGATAAATAATTGGAGGCTTGCACGTTTGAGCTATTTTATTTTTCACCGCTTGCTTTTGCTTTTCCAGGATTTGTCGAATCTGTCTATACTTTATTTTTGGTATTAAAGTACACTAACCAATTTTTTTATGAATTCAAGAAGGATAAGCCATTAATATATTGTTAAATTGCTAAAATAAAATAAAATAATAATAATAAAATAGATTCAATTTAATCACATTATATACCTGCATAAGAGTCGCTCCTGTATAATCTTTCAAGTGTCCACCCCATATGTCTTGATCTAACGTGATTTCGTCAGTAAATCCGTTTTTTCGAAAAAAACCAACAGCAAAATCATCTGCATAGACCATGAATTGTGTAATATTAAATGTATCTTTTATATAGTCCTTAAAGTAATTCATCAATTTTGTGCCATATCCTTTTACTTGTTGATCACTATCCACTGCGAAAAATACAATTTCAATAAATGATTTCTCCAAAAAAGGTCGATAGCAAATTCCTCCCACAACTTTTATAGGATCCCTCACTATCGCCAAACTATAATGATTACGATCATAGACGACCCGAGCAATGTATTGTGCTGGCATATGTGGTAGCGCAGTTGCAAACAATTCTTTTATTCCGGTCAATAATATTAAATTATCACGAGAACCATCGTTGTTGAGAAGACGTAATCTAGTACCATATTGTTGCTCCTCTAAATGAGCAGTGTTTTCATTCCTCATATCCTTGTCCACTGGCTTTTTTCGACTCAATTTTAAGAAATTCCGGAAATTAACTTGCAAAATGATTATCGTATTTTCTTAAATCATGCATATAAGCTCATGGGAAGACATTCCTATGATTGGTTAATTTTCGTAGATCTACCCGTGATTTCCCGTGATAATCAACCAATCACAATACATAATTTTTACGAAGATTTATCATGTTAAAGCGCCAAATTTTGAGATTTATACTCAAATCTGATTGGCTATGTTTTGTATAACAAGATTCTGATTGATTGAAAATCTATAAAAACAAATTTTTTTTATATATCAAAATCGTAGTTTAGACTAAAAGCAACAAATTTGTAAGACAGTTTTTTTTTAAATTCATTTGTTTGTAAGTTATAAGCATTTTTATATTTATATATATTAAGTGGATATTTTTTGCTTGTCTGGTACTGTACTATTAGAAAATGAGAAAAATCTTATTAAAAAAGCTCACAAACTAATAAATATATATAAAAAAAGTTTATTACATATACTTTAGAGCATCAGTAGATATACAAAGTGGAATATATATATTATTGATTAATAATAAACCCAAACTTATTAAAGAATCTACAAGATGTAAATCAAAATTTTAATTTATGTTTGATTAACCCAAATATACTACAGTACAAGAATGATCAAATTTAAATATTAAACCTGATCTTTATCATTAGAGAGCTTGTACCTATTCAACTTAAGATATTAACAATAAAATTTTATTTAAATTTAACATAATAAAGTAGTTTTAAACAAAAACCTTTTTAGTTATCTTTATAGTATAATTATATATAGTTTAATAACAGTAGTATATTTTGTCTTCTAAGTAAAGTAAGCCAAGAGGCAGATTCCTTTTAGATTCTTTTATATAGTAAATATTGATATTTCTTCTTAATATTAAGAATAATTTTTACAAATATTTTTTTTGATAAAATATTATATTTTTAAAAAATACTTTAAAGTATATAAATAAGTTAGAGATATGACAAAGATTTTTTAAAGAGGGAGGGAGGGTAAAAAATTTAAAATTATATATAAAAACCTGATCAAGATATATAGTAAAAGGGGAAGAGGAGGTAGGCTTCTGATAAAAAAAAATCAGGTAATAAATAACACTGCCCTTACCTGGGTAATTGATTTGTATTAACTAATCAAAAGAATAACACATAAGCATCTTTATATTCAAAATCTATTAACTTTTTTTGTTTCTCCAAGTACTTATTAATTTAGATAGTGATATTTTAAAGTTTATACAGTATATCTCTTCTATCTGTAGCTTTTAAATAATTATATACTTACTTATTTTATAGCTACAAATATACTATTTTAAATAGATTATATTGATATATTTTGGCTTCTATCCAGAATACAAACAATATTCTTGTAAAGGGTTCAAGGAATGTTCTGTATATAACATATTTTACACTATTTTTATATACTTATTATAATTACTATTAATCAATAATTCTTTAGTAATTAAAGTCACAGGATTATTAACATTTGCCATTTTAAAATTTACCACAAGATTATTAGATTTTTTTGTTTTACAACTAGTAGCCCTCTATTAACAAACTGTTTTGATTAGAAATGCAATGTTGTGAAAATATTTTGTATATATTTAGTTAAAAATAATATATGTTAAATACTTAAATACTTTTGATTTCATTATAACAACCAATTAGACCAATAATCTAATTTTGAAATTAGCAATTAATCTTCATACAATGTAATCAAATCTCTGATAGTGTTGAAAAAAATTAGTGAAAAATATATGCCTAAGGTATACTGAAATTAACAGGGCTTAGGATCGATTTTTTGATCATATAATAATTTTAAAAAACTTGAAATTTTTGTTTATATTAATTGATAATTCTCCAGTGAACTGATTAATTATTATAGTATAACGCAACACGGTTCTATATATAAATCATATAGATGGAAATGTGAAGATTTTTTAAAGAAATGTGGTGTTTGCACAAGAAAACCTTTTTTCTTACTAAGTAAATCATCTTTGGGCTTCTAACAAAAGTTATAGAGCTTATTAAGACGCATCTAATAGTAGTAAGAACATTAAAATTGGCTTGATGGTTCTTGAGAAATCTTTAAAAACCGTTTTGCTAACATATAAAATTTCTTTAAAGAAAATCGATTTTTTTAAAGAAGATTTTATATAGTTGCCAAAACATTTTTAAAGATTTCTTAAGAACCACCAAGCCAATTTTAATGTTCTTACTACTATTAGATACGTCTTAATAAGCTCTACAACTTTTGTTAGAAGCCCAAAGATGATTTACTTAGTAAGAAAAAAAAGTTTTCCTTGTGCGAATGCCATATTTCTGTTTTAAAAGATTTATATATAGAACTGCATTGTGTTATACTAAGATAATTAATCAGTTCACTGGAGAATTATCAATTAAGATTTTGGTTTGATAGAAGTTTATTTTAGAATTACAAAGGCTATTTTAATAGTAAAATTATACAAAGAAATTTTTTATTTGGAGTACAAAAGATGGTTAATTAGATTAAATTCTAAGATATTTTTAATTTTTTCAAAAAGAGTATTTGTTTTAATTTTTTATATTATACCTGATTGTGACTTTTTATTGGCTAATTTTAGCTTAAAAAATCATGTGATTGAAAAATCAATTCTATGCTTTAGTATTGTTAAAGTATACTTAGAACCAGAAATATAACTCAAGCATATTTCTATAAATATTAATATTTTAAAAATTTAATTATATTATTAATATATGGGGGTGAGTCAATAGAAATCAAGCAAATTATTTTTATTGAATTTTTTTAAAACTTTATACATTAATAATTTAACCAAAACTTGATCAAATTTAATAAAAATTTTTTTAAATAAATTCTATAAGTTTGTAAAATTTATTTAAAAAATTTTTATTAAATTTGATTAAGTTTTTGTTGAGTTATATTGTTTAAAGTTTAAAAAAAATTTATTTAAAAAAAATTTGCTTGATTTCTATTGACTCAACCCCATATATTAATAATATATATATTTTTTTAATTTGGCAATCCTTTCTCTGTTTATTGGAGGTTAAACTATTCAAAAATTTATATAAAATTCTTATAGTTGTGCTAATCTAACTAAACAGATAGCTTATCAAGCTTATACCCAATATAACTTGTCTCAGTAACTTTTGGTCTTTTTTTGAAGTTTTTAATTTGCTAAGAACTTCTTTTCTTTTTAGTTAATAGTTGGCAGCTATGCACCTTGTTAGAACTATCTAATTATATTTAAAACTTCAATATAAAAATATTTTGGCCATAGCCAGTACTGGCAAATAATACTAAATATTGAATTATTACTATTATATTAAGTAAATTCTAATCTAATATCTTTATATACTTTGTTAATTCTATAATTTTCTATATTTTTCTAGATTTTTTATATTATCTTTCTACTTCTTTCTTCTGTTAGTAGTCCAATCTTGTATTTAGATTTTTTTTTTTTTTTTTACTTCAGCAATCCTTCCTTTATTTTATAAATCAGCAGTAAATTACAATTAGATACATTAGTTAGCTAAACCTACATTATCTTGTAAGAATACTATATACCTGTTCAAATAAAGAATCTCTCGATCTGTCTCATTATTGCAGTAAAATTATAGTTATCTATAATTAAGCGCTAGAGTATGACCCAGGAGTGACCCGCCTAAGTACCAATTTTCTTCCATCTAGAGCCTCAACTTACTGAGGCTGTGAACCTGGACTTTAACAAATGGTTTCATTGACCTTGTCAAAATCACCACTCTACAATAGAGTGCTGCCAATTTGATAACGCTTTTTCATAAAGAAGTAAAAAAGAAAAAAAAAAGGTGTAAATGTAAAACAAAAAAGAGGAATAAGTAAAAAAAAGAACATACAAAAAAGATGACCAAATTATAAAAGAGTTAAAAGACTATTCTAAAATCTAAGAGAACTTGTCTACAGATATAAAAATCTGCTAACCAGGTGAAAAACTATCTACATGGTCGTAGAAATCTATATATAGAGCTATTTGACAAAAAACACTAAGATGCACTTTAACCTGTGCTAAGGGATAAAAATTATATGTCTATGACTTCAGACTATTGCATATCTCATAATACTGCTCCAGTTGCTAACTCTCCTATTAAATCCAACTCGGGTTCTGGAACATCCGACTTCAAAGCCTTGACACGTGATCATCGATTTTAGTTTCGGTCTCAAAATTTCCTCTTTATACGTATTTGTTGTTTTTCCTAATTTGTCATATCGCAGCTCAAGACTTTCTGAGAATGAAAGTGGTAAACAATACTGATCCTTTGCCGATCTTTTGGAAGGGGGTAGTCAAATCCTCTACTTTTTGTCGAAAATTATGGAAAAAAAAGAAGATGCCTAAGAAAAAATAGTTTTGCGAGGTTTCAAATTTAGAGAATGCTTTTCTAATCTGTTTGTTTCGTCCTTTAGTCTTTTCTTTTTTCTAAACATAGATTTCTGCGCTATAGTGTTCCTAAAATATCTTTTTGGTTTAGGAGCCGAATACGTAAAGGGAGTCTACCAAGAGAAGAAGCTTGACCCCTTCGAAAACCAATATACAGTCGTCCATACCTTGGTGTATCATGTCTGCAGTCTTCATCAACAATACTCTGTTACTGGAGATAAAAGTTTACTAGGACTTTAGGCTTCAACTCTTCATCTTGCGTTCAGTAAAAATTTGGTTCAAGTGATCATCAGGAAGAGTTTATTTTCTTTTTCTTTTTTTTTACTTTTCTAGTTTTTAAAACAAAACTAGAATTGGGTTTTCATTCATCTTTCTTCTTGTAATAAAGCTTGAATTTATCTTCTCTTTAATAGTCTAGCTTGTTTTTTGCAATCTTGTAATTCTATTTTATTTATTGTTTCTTTTTGTTTTTCTGGTTCTTTTATTTATATATTCCTTTTCCATTTATAGCTTCTTTCTTCTTTGGCTTCTTTGTATTAATCTTCTCTAT